AACAACTGCAGACTTCCCCCAATGCGACGCCACGTTCCTATTTCAACTCGAGCAAGGACCCCATTCACGGGTTGCGGCGGGTGTTTGTTATCAGTATTTAAGTTGCTATGAGCCTAATAGAGAGGGAACTTCAACCACATTTCACATCAAACCTAAAACACGATTTAGAGAGTAGAAGATAGAGATTTTCCTGCAACTCAATCCCATAGGAGGTGTCTTGGAGAAATCGATCAAATCCTCCATTATGAAAATCAATTATCCTTCCTCTCCTTTGCTCCTTTCATAATTCTCCATGAACTAATATTTCTTGTTGATTGGACGGGATGAACCCTAACTTTGTAATTCTGAATTGTTTGAATTTCAATATAGTTGTCAACTAATGTTTTTATCTCACTTCTTCTCATAGCTAGAAGGATATATGAAGTAGAAGGGATCCAAGTCAATGACCTACTGTTTTCCACGAAACATAACAACAACTTAACCATTATACTACATACGAGACTTTGGAGGATCATCCGTCCAATTGACATTGAGAATGTGGCGCGTAGATCCCCTATATAATAAATATCTTTCACTCCTCACTATCAATACCCAAACAAACCAGGTGCAGGCCGAGAAAATCACTACTAAATTGGATTCACATCCTCAATATCATCAAATTCGATCCAATTTGTATTCTCTACAAAGTCGCCCAACACCATTATCGTTGGACTTGCTATCGTAAAAAAGAAAACAACCTCCATATTATTTGGGAGTTGCTAATTGTCGCCCTAGTTTTATTAGATCGCCCTTACTTATAATTTATTATTACCTTTTTATCCTTTTATTTTTCGTTAAAAATATTATATTCTAACAAAGTAGACAAAAAATTTCCATGAGCTACTGTCTTTATTCCACCACCGCTGGCCAATTCCGGATGCAAGGGATTATAAAACCATAAATAATCCCCCGTCGCGGACCTGTCCATGGACAATTGTCGACGCAGCCTAACATTACCACCGGCGGCTGCTTTTGGGAGAGGCTGATGATGGTGGCCACAGATAGAGTGAGATAGCCAAACAAAACAAAATGTCTACCAGTTTCGCGTCGAATAACATGAATACAACTCATTTCTTCTCCCCGTTGACGATCGCCTTCACCTTATTTGAATAACATATTTGCCCCAACTGCTAATAAAAACAACGGTTACAATAATCCATTGCAAATAGAAACTTGAAGGTTGATAAGTTGTGTGAGGAATGGAGATGGAAAGGATCCGCAGTAGGGAGAAGGAATTGCGGCAAAGATTAGGGGAGAAGTAACGACGTCTGGGTGGACGGTGCCGGTGGTGAATCGGGGAGAAGGGGTTTAGGCGACGGCGGGGAGAAGGAACGGGGAAGAAGGAAAGGTCAGTAGTTTTAAGGGTATTTGTTTAATTTAATTAATAAAGGACAATTTAGTAATTTTACGTTTTAAGTTAGGGCGATAATAATAAAATAAGGACGGTGTTTAGCCATCCAGTATTATTTCTCACCGCCAAAAGAAAGGCAAAAGAAAATCCAATAATAAAAGAGAAACAAACAAGACCATATTTTTTATTAGGAAGGCGGAAAAAATCCCAAGTTACACATCTTTTTAAAAAAAAATCTCAAAATACACACGTTATGAAAATAATTCCCAATCTACGTTAGTTTGGGCCATCACCGCTGTCGACGAAGACAGTGATTGCATCACTGTTGTCGACGAAGACAGTGATTGCATCACCGCTTTCGACGAAGACAGTGATTGCATCACCGCTGTCGACGAAGACAGTGATTGCATCACTGCAGTACACGGCCGCGGTGAAGGCCTGACCTGCGTCGAAACTTGAAACAAACGTAACTTTGTGCTCGGTTATCCGATCGTAGCAAAATTTTTTTTGATTCCGCATAATTTTTCGAGATCTTGCAAGTCGCAAATGGCCATAGGAGGTTTGGTCCCGCCTTCGTCTCGAAAATATGTCGTTTGCTACCCCGAACGAGCCTTTTTTCGATTTCGTCAAACTTTGAATGACCATAACTTTGTGCTCCACAATCCGAAAATCATGAATTTTTTTTTGATTTCGCATAAATTTTTAAGGACTAAAATATTTAGTAGGAGAGAATTTTCAAAAAATGAATTATTTATGGATATAAGGGGTTTTGGGAATAACTTTACCTTCCTTTTCAGGAATCCAAGTACATTCCGAAAATATGTCTATGATAAAAATTGTAGTCCTTAAAATGTTATGCGAAATAAAAAAAAATCATGATTTTCGGATTGTGGAGCACAAAGTTATGGTCATTCAAAGTTTGACGAAATCGAAAAAAGGCTCGTTCGGGGTAGCAAACGACATATTTTCGAGACGAAGGCGGGACCAAACCGCCTATGGCCATTTGTGGCTTGCAAGATCTCGAAAAATTATGCGGAATAAAAAAAAATTGCTACGATCGGATAACCGAGCACAAAGTTACGTTTGTTTAAAGTTTCGATGCAGGTCAGGCCTTCACCGCGGCCGTGTACTGCAGTGATGCAATCACTGTCTTCGTCGACAGCGGTGATGCAATCACTGTCTTCGTCGACAACAGTGATGCAATCACTGTCTTCGTCGACAACAGTGATGCAATCACTGTCTTCGTCGACAGCGGTGATGGCTCAAACTAACGTAGATTGGGAATTATTTTCATAACGTGTGTATTTTGAGAATTTTTTTTAAAAACATGTGTAACTTGGGATTTTTTCCGAAGGTAGTAGGTACGAATACTATGTACCCGTTCCAGACAGCCCTCCGCCCAGTCCCCTGATACGAATCTCTCCCCCCGCACCATTTGCTTTTGTTTTTTAGTAGTGGCGGAAAGCAATCATTTTTTAGTTTAACTTTACTCTTTCCTTTATTTTTATTTAATTTTTCATGTTCACGGCTCACCGTGAGGAAATATTTTGGAGATAATTTAATGGAACTTATCAGCAAATATAGTGAAGGCGAAGATTGATGGTAGATCACAATAGAATTTTATTAATTTCATTGAGATAGATCTTGACGGTAGACCGATGAAAAAATTGATAATCGATCTCCAATTCGGTTCAATAAACTCATGCAAAAGACGAGAATTAATCGAACAATTTGTAAGTGATCCGATCGATTAAGTGGACAAGCTGTTTAAATTGCCCGAATTGTTTTGCTGGCCAGACTCCCTGCCCATTGGCCATTGCTGACCGGGATTTTGATAAGGGAACAAAAAAGCAGCTCAAAACCTCCAGAAGAACAACTTATTAGTAATTCATCGCTAGTGTTGCAAAATGCAACTTATCTTATTATCAATACGTTACACAGAGTGTAGCATTGATTTATCACTAAATAGTGCTAAAAAAACACATGTATTGGCCACTAGGAAAATTTTGTTATAGTAAAATAAGTGTATTTCTTTTTTTCATATATAATTATATTTTTAGAAATACATCATTATTATGAATACTTTCGTATAAAATTATGAATGATTTTATAACGGTTAACTAAATGAAGCATCCACTATTTATTTATTTTTCCTATTTTTGATAAAAATGGATTGAAGCCGAACCTTAGGAGCATAATCATAGTTTGTTTCGGTTATTATAATGAATTAATTAGTTATATCAGGCTCCGTTGGGATTAAGCAATATCCCCCTTTCCTCTCCTCTGAAGTGAACGCGCTTTTTAATAAAAACCTGACAGCCAGATGGAGGAAATCATTTGTTCCCCTCTCTTTTTTTAAAGAAGAAAAAAAAAAAAGAAGAAGAGGGGAACACTGTGGGTGTGGATTAGGAAGAAGAAGGAAAGCAGAGGAAGGTGGGAAGGAAGGCAACCTGGAGACCGGAAGCAAAGGCAGCTGTCCCCGTTGCCCAGGATACAGAGGCGACCGACAGTTGTGGGTAAGCGTACATGCAAAAGAGGCCGTTGAAGGAGAAGTGGGCAGGTTCTAGTTTTACAGCCTGGATCGGAAGGAAGGAAGGAAAGGACCCCTCCCTCCACCCAAACTATAAAAAAAAAACAAAGCAAGCAAACGACGCAAGTTTTTCCGGTAATGATTCGCCCTCCGATTTGGCGACCGCTCTTGTCGTCTTGCGCCACCTCACCACTTTCCGTGCGGCCGTTCGCCCCTCCTCACCTCTCCCCTCCTTTTGTTTTTTAGTTTGGGAAAAAAGAAATAAAATTAAAGAAAAACAAAAAAAAGGTGGGAGAGAGAGAAAGAAAGAAAGGAGAAAATGGCATACAGGCTGGCGCCCTCCAGTCAAAGTCAGAACTCCACAAATTTTTTTTTTTTTTTTGAAACCCCAACCGTTTCCCATCCTTATCCTAACCTACGCTTCCCACCTCCACTCTTTTCCATTTCTACCCCTATATTTGTCCGCTCCACACTCCCCACAATCCTTATTACTTCCCAAGGACGATTCTGTCATTTTACCAATTACGAATCCAACAGCACGTAGGGGATTTCCGTTTCATAATTTCGTCAATACTCACCTTCTCTCTCTCTCCTAATCCCATGAAATTACTTGTACAATTTCAAATCCATCCAATGTGTTCAAAATAATTACCTCTTAATCCTGACCTAATAAGCAGTTTAAAACAGTAGTAGGCCTAATGATGTTTCTCTCATCCCCAGAGAGAGTGAAGCTTACGCTCCTTTACCGGTCGAGTCAACTTCGTCCCCCAATCCGCCAAAACAAACCAAACCATGAAAAATAATAAATATTATTATATTAATTCGAAAATATTTGTAGGCCTGAGAGAGCAGAGCCAGAAGAAGCAAGCAAGAGATATTTTTTTTTTTTTGAATAAGAGAGAGAAAGAGAGAGTTATATTAATGTATGTAAATCAGTGCTAGTGAGATGTGACGCGTGTCCGTTTGCCAGCTGTATCCCAACCTCAACCGCTTCCTTTCCCAGTTCCCTTAACTCCTCTCCTTTCACCGGCTCGCCCGGTCGCCCCTTTATATACCTCGCTCCTCTCTCTCTCCCCCCGCACACATATAAGAGAGAGATATATATTCTCCCCTCCTCTATCCCCTCTCCAAACAACCAACTCTCTCTCTCTCTACCGGCCATCGGGAAATCTCAACCGCCGGCCAAAACCTCCATTCTACTCCCTCGCTTTTGTGATAAGATCAACAACCGAAATGGCTATTACAGGAAGAGATATAGATCGAATCAAAGGTCCATGGAGCCCCGAGGAAGACGACAAGCTCCAGCGCCTCGTCGAGAAGCACGGCCCGCGGAACTGGTCGCTGATCAGCAAGTCGATCCCCGGCCGATCGGGGAAATCCTGCCGACTTCGGTGGTGCAATCAGCTCTCGCCGCAGGTCGAGCACCGCGCCTTCACGGCGGAGGAGGACGACACGATCGTCCGGGCCCACGCTCGGTTTGGGAACAAGTGGGCGACGATCGCCCGCCTCCTCCAGGGCCGCACCGACAACGCCATCAAGAACCACTGGAACTCCACGCTCAAGAGGAAGTGCTCTTCCTCCTCTTCCGCGTCGGACGGCGGCGGCGGGGAAGGAGGGTACGATGGTAATTTGGGGGATTGCTGCCAGCCGTTGAAGAGGTCGATGAGTGCGGGATCCGGTGCGCCCGTCTTCACGGGAGTTAGCATGAACCCCGGGAGTCCATCTGGATCTGACGTCAGCGACTATTCCAGCGTGCCAACTGCGCCTCCTGTTTTATCCGCCGCTCCTGCCCCGCACGTGTTCAGGCCCGTGCCGAGAACCGGCGGGGTGGTCCCACCGGCCGAAGCTACGGCCGCCGCTGCGACGGCGTCGTGTAGCAGCAGAAACGAAGACCCGCCCACTTCCTTGTGTCTGTCCCTCCCAGGGACCGATTTTTCCTCCGACGCCGCCTCGACCCCTCGAGTTCCCGAGCCAACTCACAATCATCATCATCAGGCCGCTACTACTGCCATGGCACTGTTGCCGCCGATGATACCTCCGGCGCCAATCACCGTTCCGGCATCGGCGAATAATCTAGTGGTGGAGCCGTCCGGGTCAGGGATTGTGGGTTTGGGCTCGGAGTTCATGGCGGTGATGCAGGAGATGATAAAGAGGGAGGTCCGGACATATATGATGGAGCAGAGGCAGATTGGTGGTGGTGGCGGCGGCGTCGGTGGTGGTGGGGGTGTTGGAATGTGTTTCCAGGCGGCGGCAGGCAGTGGGTTCAGGAGTGTTACAGCGGCGGTGAATAGGGTTGGGGTGGGTAAAATTGAGTAGAGTGATTAGTCAGAAAGAATCCAAGAACTGGACGTAGTTGGTGGGAAAGAAGATGGGAGGGGGTTGTTTCTTGTTGTTGTTTGGGGAGTAGGGGAATAATTTTTGAAGGCCATTGTACAGAGGAAAATGGAAGAGATGGATGAGGTAAAACAAGGAAGCTGGGGAATAGTTGCAGAAGAAAGTTAAAAATCCAGATATATATAAATATAAATATAATATGTATGTTAGGTTAAAAGTTGGCATATGAATGGCATGGCAGCAGAGATGCGACGATGGGGAGCCAAAGGATTTCTCACCCAATTCAATGATGAAGAGAAACACAAACATGTCTTGTGAGATTTGGGGCGAAAGTGGTAAGGAAGAGAAACCCTACCACCTCATGAAATGAAAGCAATTTCAAATTGAAAACTCTGAGACTATTAGGCAATTTCTAGATTTGTTCATCCATTATTGCTCTTCATCAGAAATTGCAAACTGCAATCACTCCCATGTCCAAAATATGCTTCTCTATTATTACCCGTCAAAGGTCAATTGTGAAGGGGAACGAACGTTAACTATGGTTGGTTGGGGAGGTGGTTTGGCAGTTTTAGTTGCGAGAAAGATCTGGAAACTTTGTGTATTATTAATGAGAGATGGAAAACGGAAAACGAAGCAAGTTTGGAAGAGGAACACGATTTCTTCCCGTGGTGGGGCGGTCGACGGGCCCCACAGCGCCAAAGGAGTAGGCAGGCAAATTGGCAGTTACACAAAACACACGCTTCTTTCTCTCTTTCTCCTCCTTGTTCGATTTCTGTTACGCCATCAATTTGTAACGAAGCAAAACTGAAATTGATCTGCCAACTATACATCTTCTTTCTTTCTTCTGCCTACAACGTCCAGAAAAAAGTCAAAAGATAATCACACCAAGTGGCACTCGGGAAAGCAAGACGAGACGACTCTTTCATTTACAATTTTTTTTAATATCTATAATAATAATAATAATATAAACCTATCCAACAAAACTAAAATGTTTGTGCACGTAAAAGTAGAATCTCCACACCATTTGATTTTCAGGGACCACGACAGGCTACTACAACTACAACTGAACATGCAAACGTGGCACATTTGGGAGGAAGACTTTGTGATCTTAACAACAAACTCTGGCAAGAAAGCCACACATCTCATATGCGCATTTATCATTAGATTGAAAACGTAAAAAAAGATGAATTGATTGAAGAGTAGAGACCGAAAGAGAGTGAGCCTTCAACTAAAATATAGCTTCAGCGCCTTGGTAAGTTGGTTATTATCATAATATTGTTATTGGCGGTGTCGTCTAACCTGGCAACACTCGTCGTCCAACGGGAGCTGAGCAAGCTGCATATCTTCCTTCCACGACCATTTCGGGTCGTTTAGAGCACGTACCGAGTTTTGGCATTTCAGGAGAGCACCAACTTCCGTGTTAAAGAACCTGCATTTCATTCAACAAACCAACCACACAGTACATTACATCCACCTAACAGTTACTCTTGTGCAGCAGGAGGTATTGGACATTGTTGGACAATGTACCATCTCAAACCACTCAATTCTGTGACAATGGGAAGCCACCGGCACCGAATATGCTGGTTACCGGACCGATTAAATAAAAAGATGGAATGGAAACCAGAATTATGGAAGTCAAAGCCAGCGCCACATTCTGTTTGACCTGTGTACGTGCAAATGTTAGGAAAAAAAAAGACAATGAAGAACCTAGATAGGATAAATGATTCAATAATTAGGCACGATGCACATAGTTGTTCAATGATATTGATATGATACCAGGGAACTTGTTTGGCGAGACTTGGCAATACAGAACATCTGCCACAGCTATGGCAGTTGCACTAGCGTGCTGCGCTAGCACAATTCCTACAGTTGCTGCGGCATCATTGATGGCTTCACCCACCATGCTGCGGTGTCAATACATATCAATTCAAGTTCTAGGTTTCTGGAAGTGTAAATATGGAACAAGCAGCAAAAAAGAGAGCCCTCATGAAGGAATCCTCTCACCTTTTCATCAATGGAAAGAGCAGCATGGACAAAGTCATTCCCGTAAGAAGATGCACTGACAGCTTCCTAAGGCCCTGTTCACTTCCATTTTCGTTTCCTGTTTTCTGTTTTCATGTGATAAATTTGGCAACCGAAATGAGAAAACTTGTTTACTTTTCATTCTTTTTTCTATTCGTTTCCAACTAGGAAAACAGAAAGTGGCAACTTCCTGCTGTTTTCGGAAACGACAAAATGTTGTTTTCACCTGTTTTCAACATCTGTTTTCTCAAAAACAGGAAACAGAAATGAAAGTAAACAGGAAATTTCTCTCGACTTGTCTTCGGATTTACAAAGAGAAGTAATGAACTCAACAGAGCCAAGGGAAGCTTTCAATGATCTAGCTCTTCCACTTACTGACTGTACATAAATAACAGCTATCAGTTCCCTCAGCCATTTTTCCATCCATAGTACTTAAAAATAAAACTACTTCATTGCATAAGGGCATATATATTTAAGATAATCCCACCTCATTTTTCGCAAATCATGAGTAACCGTGACACGGCGAATTGAAGTTTGCTACCTGAGTGTCATTTCGAGTAGCAACAAGTCCTCTGCCAGGAAAATATTCAGAAGGGAGGTCTTTGTCAGTGCTATGATCTACAACATCTCTACTAAAAAGGAAAAGTTTCCTGAACGTTAGAATGAACTCAAATCTGGTATTCAATTTTCAAAGTGGCAGTTTCTAATATCTAATATGCCAAGGCAAGCAAAAGGTTGCACTCGAGCCAGCAGATACAAGGTGTTACATTAAAATAAGTTCTCTAAGTTTTAGTTTCCACCATACATAACAAGGTAAACTGATAACTTTCTAGTCTTTCCACCTACCAATGCTGGTTTCCAGCTGCCACATGCTCACTAACTTGCAAGGCTACTCTCAGCTTTCCTAATGATCCAAAACTTTATGGGACGTAGTAGAAACGGGTGACGTATTCAAGAAATGAAATTACCTTCCAATAAGATGTGCTGTGCTCTTCTCCATAGCAGTTGCAAGAGCAAGAGCTTCCTTCACAACTGGGTATGCAACAAGAAGCAGCATGAGTTGTCAACTCTTTTCCTACTTGATGTCCAAGAGTTGGCTCGATTGCTTTGAATATACGACCTCCTGTAGTCAGTCTCCCACTTTTATCAAATGCATTTGTGTGGCAGGAAGCTAGAGCATCCAGAACCTGCCCTCCTTTAAGTAATATTCCCTGTGTCCAAAGAGAACATAACTATTAATGATATTTCGTTCAGAGAAAATTCGATGATCAATTAGATTGGTTTCAATTTAACATTGAAACTTGATACCTCAATTCAACATTTAGAAAATATGGAACCTTTCAGTCCAAATGCATAAATCACGTCATCACCACATAAATATTAAAAAAACATTACTATCTGGTACCTATAGGACTCTACAGTGACGTAATTAATAACTTACACATTCACATGGAAGTTAACGAGTAATACTGAACATGCTACAGGAAAAGAAAGGCCATACAAACTCTTCTACAGAAACCAAAGAATCAAATCTTTATCGAAACCACCAGGCACCTTTTTGGCATAGGAACTAATGACAGTGGTGTATGCAAATGGAGCTACTGCCAAGGCACGTGGTGATGCTTCCATCATTGATCCTATTGCTCTAAAGATTGATCCTCTGCAGGCTGCATGGTAAACCAAGAACAGTTTATAGTTATAACACTAATTAGAAGTTCCAGAAGAATACAGTCATACTTTCTACCCAAAAAGAACACCAGAATAGGAATAGAAACAAATCCTTGGCCAGATAACCAGGGGACTACTATAGATTAGGAAACCTTGGAGTTCAGGATGATTATCTAGTCTATTATCCTTGTTAGCAAACAGGATAAGAGGATGATTGTTCTTGTTACCCGAAGTACTCATGAATGGCCAATTGAAAAACAATGGTCCAAGGAAAGCAACAGCAAACGACAACCCCACTACAACCTTGCTGTATTGCTCACCAACTTATCGAGCCATCTTTGAAGTTTTGGTTTGTTTTACTGGGCCCCTTCAGTCAATTGAAAAATTCTATTTAGTGTTGAATCTTTCCATATCTTTATTGCCTTACTTAGGTTCGATAATGGCACCCAGAGATGATTGAACACAGTTTGTTGAGCACGTCAAGCACGAGAAATGAAAAATAAAAAAATAAGTCAACTACAGCCAGTAATTTCAGGTGACCATGATCATAAAAGACCATGACACGCATTTTGATATCCAATGAGTAACGTCTCGAAGTATCTTATATTTAACTTTTAATGACAATACCTTGACAATCATTCAACCATCCAAGTTCCTTGCACCACCAGGCAGGAATCCGATCTCCCACCTTTGCTTCGATCGGTTTTGCTTCCCCAGTCAAATGCTCAATAGTAACTGTTGCAATACCTTTGAAAATCTGACAATCCACAGGCACAGCCTACAAAAATAGAATAACTGCTAGGAATGTTCTAAGGGGTGCTGGGCAACAATCTATTGGCATGGTTGAAATGTGCAGCAAAGAATATCAAATATATATTTCCTCGGTTCAGCTTGATCAATCACCCCTGAAGTAGTCATCCAGAGAAGAACAAATAGAGTGCCATACTTGGCAATGTTATTGCCAAGCTATATTACTCCGGAAGAAACATACAAATAAACAAGAACAATGCCTGATCAAGAGATACCTAAGGCGAAAACATCTCACAAAAATGAAATCTATAAACAAGGTCTAATCTGATCATGAAACAATCAAGATAAAGGCATCTAAAACGTATGTCTCCCATAAATAATATAAATTTGGCCACTTCTATAGCAAGCACAGACAGTGCAAGAGTTTAAATGACATGCCTAAAAATTTCACGATCGAACAGATTTGTTCCTGGAACGTATGTTTAGTTTCTCTTTCGCCATGATTAATGTTGACTTCCATGATTACCAGTCCCATGTTACAGACCTCACCATCTCCAACTAGAACATAAAGAGCCCACTTCTATCTATATCATGCACTGGCACACTTGAGTAGGCCACATGCGTGAGGTCAGGTAGATTTCCCTCTTTAACAACTAGGGCGAGGGCGGAATCTGGTTGGTTCTCTTTCAACTCTTTAACATCTACCATTGATCGACCTGTGGAGAACTCTTCGGCTGCAAGACAGAAAAGCCTGTAAGGCGTAAGCATTTAACAGCATTACACATATGTTTGTGAAGCTGCAACCGGCAATACACTTCAATGCCTTTACCAATATGAGCCAGATTGAACATTGCAAGAAGTAAGCCTCCTTCCAAGGCATTGCCCATAAAAACAGATGCAAAGGCTGCAAGAGCCATCAGCGCACATGAATGTTCACCTTCTCGCTAGCAATGTTAATGAGAGCATCTAGGGATGCCGAGACTTGACGCACACAATCTCATCCTCAGTTCTAATTCTTGCTAAACTTCCGTTTCTAGCGAAAAATTAAGATCAATCTGCAATGGAGAATTGAAAAGCACGCAAAATAAGAAAAAAAATATAGATGCAGTAACTGCAAAGAGTGATGAACCGTACCCCAACCAGAGGGAAACCGACGATCATCAAGGCATTTTATAGTGTCTTACCCACGGATTTTGGCGCAAGGTACGGAAAAATAGCAGCGGCGAGAAACATAGCCGCTGAGCAGCAACAGAGCTGCAAGTGATCCTCCCTCGGCAGACTGGCGAGATTCGTCCATCTCACCGCATCCGAAAACCTAATCACAGCTTTCTGCGCGCCGGTTAGCTCTTCAAACTCGCCTCCGTGATGGTGATGATGGTGGCCGCGGCCGTGATTATGGTGCTGATTACGGTGGGTATCTTCGTGGTGGTTGTGGTTATGGGAGTGATAGTGGTGGTGATTCGCTGCCTCGACAATGCAACGGGCGACGAAATGGCGGTGGAAATTGGGGGGGGGGGGGGGGGGGGGGGGGGGGGGGGGGGGGGGGGGGGGGGGGGGGGGGGGGGGAATGAGAAGGTTACGAAGAGGAAGAGAAGGCAGCGAGCGGAGCCGGCGTTGCCCGGAGGAGGAACGGAGTGGGGGGAAGTCGATCACGCCAAAATCGTGGCGGACGGCGGTGGAGGCTTCCATGGATTGCGGAGTGAAAGAAGAGGTTCAGGTGAAATTCGGATGAGAAACCATGACGGTGGTCGGCGGAGAAGAAACGGAAGAGAAGTCTGAAAAGTTGCAGAGGATGGAAACAAAGTGGTAGCTGGTGGGGCTCTGAGAAGTACGACTTGGGGCTAAATTACACGTTCGGTCACTCAAATTACATAAAATTTTCACTTTTGCCACCCGAATTACTTTTCTGTCATATTAGCCACTAACTTTACTATTGTTTTCACCATTAGTCACCAACCGTTAGTTTCCGTCAAACTCCGTTAACACCGTTAAATTTTTAATGACGTGGCAAACTGAAATGCTGACAGAATAGTTAACTTAATGACATAGCAATTTAAAAAATATAAAAATAAAAATCATTTACGAATGGTTCTACCTCCCCCTCCCTCGTCTACCACCTCCCCCCCCTCTCTCTCTTACACTATGTTTGGCAAAAGGGGGGGTGCAAGTTCGAGGGGGGTACAAGTTGAGGGGTAAATTGTTGGGGGGTGCAACTTGGTGGAGGGTGTAAGTGGAGGGGTAAATTGTTGTTTGGATGAAAAAGTAGGGGGGTGCAAATAGAGTAAAAAGTAAGTAATTATATTATTATAAAATAAATTTATCAATTTATAAAATATTATCACAAAATAATAACATGAAAATTCAATATATAATAATAAAAATAATTTTAATAAAAATAATTTTAATAAAAATAATTATTATATAATAATGCTCAAATATAATTATTTATAACAACAATAATAATCATTGGTCGAGCAACCTCGAAACTCGAAATCCAACTCGTAACTAGTCATCCTAACGGGGTTCTCGTGCCTAACTTTAAATTGAATATGGTCAAACTTAGTCAAACACGTTCGAATCTGTAAGTTTTAACTACTTATTAAAGTAAATCGAGTTAACTAAACTGTTCCTCTCTATCTTTTCAACAAACGCTTCTTATCTCTAATTTTCAATGCAAATTCGGGTCAACTAAGAGATATCGATTTGACGAGGCGAATGAGAAGGTTACGAAGAGGAAGAGAAGGCAGCGAGCGGAGCCGGCGTTGCCCGGAGGAGGAACGGAGTGGGGGGAAGTCGATCACGCCAAAATCGTGGCGGACGGCGGTGGAGGCTTCCATGGATTGCGGAGTGAAAGAAGAGGTTCAGGTGAAATTCGGATGAGAAACCATGACGGTGGTCGGCGGAGAAGAAACGGAAGAGAAGTCTGAAAAGTTGCAGAGGATGGAAACAAAGTGGTAGCTGGTGGGGCTCTGAGAAGTACGACTTGGGGCTAAATTACACGTTCGGTCACTCAAATTACATAAAATTTTCACTTTTGCCACCCGAATTACTTTTCTGTCATATTAGCCACTAACTTTACTATTGTTTTCACCATTAGTCACCAACCGTTAGTTTCCGTCAAACTCCGTTAACACCGTTAAATTTTTAATGACGTGGCAAACTGAAATGCTGACAGAATAGTTAACTTAATGACATAGCAATTTAAAAAATATAAAAATAAAAATCATTTACGAATGGTTCTACCTCCCCCTCCCTCGTCTACCACCTCCCCCCCCTCTCTCTCTTACACTATGTTTGGCAAAAGGGGGGGTGCAAGTTCGAGGGGGGTACAAGTTGAGGGGTAAATTGTTGGGGGGTGCAACTTGGTGGAGGGTGTAAGTGGAGGGGTAAATTGTTGTTTGGATGAAAAAGTAGGGGGGTGCAAATAGAGTAAAAAGTAAGTAATTATATTATTATAAAATAAATTTATCAATTTATAAAATATTATCACAAAATAATAACATGAAAATTCAATATATAATAATAAAAATAATTTTAATAAAAATAATTTTAATAAAAATAATTATTATATAATAATGCTCAAATATAATTATTTATAACAACAATAATAATCATTGGTCGAGCAACCTCGAAACTCGAAATCCAACTCGTAACTAGTCATCCTAACGGGGTTCTCGTGCCTAACTTTAAATTGAATATGGTCAAACTTAGTCAAACACGTTCGAATCTGTAAGTTTTAACTACTTATTAAAGTAAATCGAGTTAACTAAACTGTTCCTCTCTATCTTTTCAACAAACGCTTCTTATCTCTAATTTTCAATGCAAATTCGGGTCAACTAAGAGATATCGATTTGACGAGGCGAATGAGAAGGTTACGAAGAGGAAGAGAAGGCAGCGAGCGGAGCCGGCGTTGCCCGGAGGAGGAACGGAGTGGGGGGAAGTCGATCACGCCAAAATCGTGGCGGACGGCGGTGGAGGCTTCCATGGATTGCGGAGTGAAAGAAGAGGTTCAGGTGAAATTCGGATGAGAAACCATGACGGTGGTCGGCGGAGAAGAAACGGAAGAGAAGTCTGAAAAGTTGCAGAGGATGGAAACAAAGTGGTAGCTGGTGGGGCTCTGAGAAGTACGACTTGGGGCTAAATTACACGTTCGGTCACTCAAATTACATAAAATTTTCACTTTTGCCACCCGAATTACTTTTCTGTCATATTAGCCACTAACTTTACTATTGTTTTCACCATTAGTCACCAACCGTTAGTTTCCGTCAAACTCCGTTAACACCGTTAAATTTTTAATGACGTGGCAAACTGAAATGCTGACAGAATAGTTAACTTAATGACATAGCAATTTAAAAAATATAAAAATAAAAATCATTTACGAATGGTTCTACCTCCCCCTCCCTCGTCTACCACCTCCCCCCCCTCTCTCTCTTACACTATGTTTGGCAAAAGGGGGGGTGCAAGTTCGAGGGGGGTACAAGTTGAGGGGTAAATTGTTGGGGGGTGCAACTTGGTGGAGGGTGTAAGTGGAGGGGTAAATTGTTGTTTGGATGAAAAAGTAGGGGGGTGCAAATAGAGTAAAAAGTAAGTAATTATATTATTATAAAATAAATTTATCAATTTATAAAATATTATCACAAAATAATAACATGAAAATTCAATATATAATAATAAAAATAATTTTAATAAAAATAATTTTAATAAAAATAATTATTATATAATAATGCTCAAATATAATTATTTATAACAACAATAATAATCATTGGTCGAGCAACCTCGAAACTCGAAATCCAACTCGTAACTAGTCATCCTAACGGGGTTCTCGTGCCTAACTTTAAATTGAATATGGTCAAACTTAGTCAAACACGTTCGAATCTGTAAGTTTTAACTACTTATTAAAGTAAATCGAGTTAACTAAACTGTTCCTCTCTATCTTTTCAACAAACGCTTCTTATCTCTAATTTTCAATGCAAATTCGGGTCAACTAAGAGATATCGATTTGACGAGGCGAACATTGACAAACTTGCTCTCTGAGTCAAACGGTCAACCCCAAACAACTTCTACACTAATATAGATATAAGAAAAAATTAATAATATTAATTATTATGTAATTATAATCTAATTAAAAATTCATAATTCCCCTCCTCCCCCTTCCCCCTCCCTTCCTTCCTTCCCTTGCACCCCAATTTGGGGGTAAGCTGAAACAGTGAATTTACGCTCACGTTTTGCACCCCCTACTGTTACAAAATAACCAAACGGGGTAAACACCTTGGAACTTGTGTTTACCCCTCCAAACTTGCACCCCCTTCCATTTACACCCTTTCCCAAACATAGTGTTAGCAAAAAGCAGAACCAGGAGAAGAAGAAACAATCACGTGGCTGGTGATGACGAAATCAACCTCAATGAATCCAAGGTGTCCATTGTTTTTCTTGTTTGCCGGCTCTATCCCTATTTTTTTCTCTTCTTTGTTTCGTTGATTCAAGGCTTTTGTTTTGTTTACTAGGCAGAGGGTGGTTCCGCTCAACACCTGGGCACTAATCTCCAACTTCAAGCTAGCTTACAACCTCCGCCGCCGCCACGACGGAGGCTCATTCAACCGCGAGTTCTCCGAGATCGAAAGGGAAGGAAGTGGAGAGGAAATTGGCGGAGGAGAACCCCAATCCCAAATCCGACATAACCCCAGTCCCTCGTCCAGATTTCCACCTCCGAAAAGAACTATAGCCCCGTACCAATATTCACCTTCGACAAAAACCCAGTACCCTGTCGACCTTGGAGCGGCGACGGTGGTGGGTGAATTGGAGAAGGCACAATCGATTGGAGCTCAATTTGCTAGGTTCGGCGCCGCCGCAATCAATTACTTCCTCACAGGTGATACCGGTTCGAGCCGTTCGAGCTTCTTGTTCGGGAACTGCAGTGACGATCTTGGCCCCAGAATCTTCGGCCTATTTTGCGATACTGGAATGAGTGGTGACGGGAAGCACCGGTTCCTTCCACGACGACGGTGGTTTTTGTCGAAGTGGAGGAAAGACGACGAATTGGAATTTGGAAGGGGTTGAGTTTAATTTTGTTTTCTTTTTAGTCCTTACAATATAAATAAAAGAAAATTAAGTAACATGTTTTGGTCAATTTGGTTGGGTGAGGCAGATTTGGTGGTCAACTTGCATGACTTCTTCTTTTTATCAGTCTAGTCAACATTTCCGTTTGCCATGTCATCAAAATTTTAACGGAATTGACGGAGTTTAACGGAGACTAACGGTCGGTGACTAATGGTGAAACGAATCGTAAAGTTAGTGGCTAATATGAAAGAAAAGTAATTCGAATGACAAAAGTGAAAGATTTATATAATTTGAGTGACCAAACGGGTTTTTACTTTTTACGCATCGCTGCGAGTGGAGTTGAATTCTGTTTCATTTGATTTACTCGACTTCCGTATGCCATGGCAATAACCGAATCAATGGATTCTCCGTCTTCCCCTTCTCCGACCGCCTCCAATTTCAGGTTTTCTTCCAATTCCTTCTCCGATTCTGATCCCTCGTTCCTGTTTCAAATTCCACTTCAATGAAGTCACTAACCCTTTCGGCAGTGGCGGCCAACAACAGCGTCACTTCTATCTTGCCGTCGACCGACTTCAGTTCAAGATGGTACGCCTAGTTTTCCCGCAGCTCGTCTCAATTGCCTGAATAATTCTAAGATTTCACTCGCCTTAACGGAAACCCTTTGAATTTTCCGAGCAGGAGATGCTGGTAGATTTGCTAGGTGTAGCCGGCCGCCGTTCTGGAATTCCAATGGCGGTTTGCTGCAGCTCGAGGGACGAACTCGATGCTGTGTGCTCTGCAGTCTCCAACCTCCCTGACATCTCTCTTGCGTCTCTGGTACGCACTGCTCATTTCCTTAAATCCCCGTGCAAGTGCAACCACTGCCTTTGAGAATGTCGATTTAGCTTGAATTTGGGTTGCAATGGTTTAAAAACATCCGTTGTAAACCATGGCCAGTACAGCGACCTAGCCGAGTCAGAAAGAACCCTAGTCTTGGAGACATTTAGGCAAGCGACCATCAAATGGGCTGAGAGTGCTATGACTAGTGTTCAGTTCGGGGACGATGGTGAGAATCAGATCAATGAGAACAAGTCTCAGATGATAGTTGTAACGGATGCTTGCCTTCCGGGAGTTCTCAGTGGCGAATCATCTATCGCTGCTCGTATCCTGATCAACTACGAGCTACCAACAAAGAAGGTATTTTTCTCCTGATGAGCTACCAATCGTTGCAGTTCGTGTAAACGGTGTAATGCCTATCTGTGTTGACTGAAGATCATGTGCATTGCATCATCTATTAACGATGGGTTTTCTTTTTGCCTCCAGTTTGCATATCCATTTGATTTGCATGACTGTTTTTCTAGAATCAGACAAAGCGATTGAAATGCAATTAAGCCTCTTCTAGCTTGATTTCTGCCTTTTCCCTGTCTCTTTTGTTATTGTGTGAGAATAATAGTGCATCGCTAGTTCTTGAAGCAATCGTTATCCGAGCAAATGATCAACCTTGTTTCCTGTACATGTGGCAGCTGTTATGCAACTTCTGCTTACTTTGGTTGCCGGTAGAACACTGTGATATCTGCTCATATCTGTTAGCATAAAAAACAAAATGATCTCCATCAGATTTCTTATCATGGTTTCTACTTACATGCAGGAAATGTACATGAGACGAGTGAGCACATGTCTAGCTGCAGGTTCGTTTTCTTTGGGATGTTGCTGCAGCTTTTCAACATTGCATGAAGGTCTTTTTTTCTAACGCACCTCTATCTGCAGATGGGATTGTTATCAACGTGGTTGCCGGTGGGGAAGTTGTGACCTTGAAGAATGTCGAGGAAAGTTGTGGCCTTCTCATTGCTGAGATGCCTATAAATGTAAGCTGTGTCCTGCATTACTTTGAACCACTTATACTTTGAACCACTTATGGAACAAATCCTTCTCAGGAATAGTACATTGAAGTTTGGTATTTAGATGTCTTTCTTTATGACTGAAATTCAATGTCCCCCCCAATGATGCAGGTTTCTGAGATACTGTGAGTATGCAATTTTCATCTTCAACGAGGGAGAGTAAGCAGTAGCAACATCGACAAGAGGATTTTGAACTGCTGGATTCCTTCCGACAGTTGAAGGAAGAAGAGAACGCAAGCTCCTCTTCCCTTCATTTATATTCGCATGAGCAGTTAGTAGTTGCAAAAGCTGCTTCAAACTTTAATCAGCTAAACTCGTAGTTAGGGTGGTCTTTCAGGCGCACTAGTTAAGCACGTTCAGCCTCTGGCATGGACATACCTGCTGTTCCGTGAATTCTGGCTCATAATTTATTGTTAAGCACGTAATAATCTTGCGACAAACCTATTTCAAGAATAGCCGAGTCGTTCCCATAATCCCATCAGTGGTCCCTAAAGTTCCAATTGGCAATGAATCAGACTCCAAAATATGTAAACAAATAGTGCTCATTATAAAGGTGTGATCTAGGGATTTCAGAAATGATGTAATTTGACTTAATTGCCTCTCTGTCTATTCAAATTGATGCGAGACAAAGCAATTCAAATTGCATCAACTCAATTGCTGCCTGCATCACCTTTTCTATGTTGGCAAACAAGGCAATTGCGCATGTTATCTCGTGCAATTCCATAATCCAATTTGAACCAATTGCTTTAATTCAAGACCCATCTTGGAGTTTTGACTGCAACATTTCTACATGGTACATGGGATGTTGAGGACGAGGAGGGTTCAAGACAGTAGAGTCGTGAAACAAATACTTCAATCGTTATGTAATCAGTCCATGGCTCCAGTTCATGTCTTTCCAAATATGCTTTCCAGTATCTAATCTGATGTACAAGACCTCAGAGGAAAGAATAGGCATAGTAACTGTTACACGTTACAACAACACCTGGAATGATACTCTTCAATTGGTTAAGGAACTGCTTCAGGTTACCAGAATTAATAATATCATTCATCTTTGCCTTTGCTTTTGCCTTCCGAAACTTTTGACCCGTCGTACGCAGAGAGGAAGAACGTGCTCTGATTCTTCTGAAGAAACCTGTTACCACCGATCAAATGCAATACATTACAGAAGGAAAGATTTAGCACAAGAATACAAGATGATACTGTCCATGATCCTCGCGTTGTTGGCTTTCGGCTTTCCACATATATAACTGTTTAAAACTTTAGATGGAAGAAGGCTTCTAGAATGGGGTGACCTAAAATTTGATTTGCATTTCACGCCAAGTGGTCGGTACCCAGATTATTCAACGATCAGCTATTTAGCGAATCAGCATGGGAAAAGTCGGCTTACTTGAGGAAATCTAGTAATTTCTGCTGCAAGCGAGTCAGTGTCTCCACTTCAATATTAACATATGCCAGCAACTCAGGTAGCTTGACTGCAGATAGGGAAAAATTTATGTAAATGACACGACTGCCACAACAAAGAAGCAGAATACATGCTCTACCAAACACAAAATTAAGCATATGTACGACACACGAGTTACATCTTAAAGCTTATGGATATGCTACAGTGTGAAAAATGGTTTAAGGGGGAATTGTGTTCATGACCAGTAAAGATAGATGAACCTTGTCTGCTTACGTCAATTCACAGCTCCAATATGTGTAGATATAAAGAAAGGAGATACGATTTTCTTCAATCAGGCTAATGGAGAGACGCAAACTAAGAATCAAAGTTCCAAAGTGCATACCAAATAGACGCAATAAATGTTCAGCACCATATATTGTTGACGGAGAGACGTCTTCTTTGATAACATCTTGATACTGTTGGCGCTCCCTTTTGTATAGGAGCATCACTGGCAATGCTTTGTCAAAGTAACATCGTATCCCTTTTAAAACTTCTCCTATAGAATCAGTCATTCTGGATTTCAATAACACCAAAAGAAGTAAGAATATCTCACTGTTTTGGCTCAAGCCCAAGAAGCAGAGTTCAGTATTATAGCATACAACAGAAAGTTCAGGATTTTAGCACACAAATCCGTTAAGTTTAAGAACCCACTCCAACCATTGACATCTCTTTGCAGGAATACACAGTCGTCAAAAGGATCAGGCAAAACATAGAGATAGGGACCTCGGCACCACTAATTATTTCAGCAAATTATCTTAAAAATCAATTAGCATCGCTAAGGTGATTCCAAAGAGATGAGTACTCAGATGCCAAACGGGAACCTCATCAGGATAAGGATAGAATATTACTGAGGTTAATTATAACAGACATTGAAAGTGACTCACACGCCATCCTTCTTTGACCTGTACTCGAGGTATTTGGACAAAATGTCATCCACAGTTGGTGATCTTGGAAGTTTAACAAGCTGCAGGAACAGAATGATTTCTCAGAACAGATTAAGGTGTGATGGATGCTGAAAAAAAAAAAAAAAGTATCAACCAGAGGCATTAACAGTCACTCCCAAGGCTGGTGGATAGATGACATGTTTATTCTTCATTTGTAAATCAGAACTTTATCGTTTTCCAAGTATCCGAGGCTATTAATATGGTGTGAAAATTACAGATAACCATAACTATCCAATGAAGAAATTTTAGCAAGAAAAAGCAACATATTTTCACTTGGCTGCTACTGCAATTCCAATACTATGGCTAATAGAAAGGTTACAGTAAAAGGGAAACCCTCCATGTTGCTGTATTTAAAGGATGACTTTACAGCAAATTAATTGAGAAACACAAAATTATTCTTTCCAATAAGCAACCTTGTGAGCTTTTATGACTAGAGGAATCATGAAGTGGAAGATTTTCTAACATAGAAATCATAAATGTTACATTAGCTGCATCGTTTAAGAAATCAGCTCCTACCATAAAGAGCGGTCAACAACATACCTTATCCTGCTGAGTGACAAACTCCCAGTCATCAACAAGTTGCTTCTTAAGTGTGGATGGAATTTGGACCTTGACTTGCTTTTCCATGGAGATATTGTCCTTCTGACAAAAGGAAACCAGCAATTGTAAATAGCTTTTCGTGAAAATCATAGAATAGAAAGAAACAAATTTCTCTGAACTCTTCTATTTATGGATAAAATTTGGCAATTATCTAATGGAAAACCTCATTAGACTGCAAATTACAAACTGCGACTTTGCGTGGGCTAAAAAACAACTCAATATGTCAGAGATGTATAATCCTGTTTTTTATATATATATATATATATATATTGCAACTCATAAGATTAGATCAGCTAAATGCCATAAAAAGGGGGAAACCAGGACCGACAATGAGTATGGCAAGTGGAGCAGTAGCATCAAAGAAAATCCCCTCTAAGGGAAACAGTTATTCCAGGATTGTATTTCTTTAGATAAACTTACCTCTGCATTTGAGTCAGCTTTGCGCTTCTTGCCTTTTGTTGCTGTGAGAAACATAAGTGTTCATTAAGAACAATGAATATTCCAAAGGAATGCGGTTCAAGAAGATATAGTAGGGCACAAGGGAAAACCGACACCGAGAATGAACTTTGATCTCATAGTAATAGGACATGAGATAAACGACCACAAGGGAGTATTTCAAAAGATCAAATCAATAGTTTTTTTTTTTATGGTAACAATGAAATTCAACGGAGGCTGATAAAAAAAGGAGCGTAAAAGTAAATGACCAACCATTGCCTTTTGTATCTTCCTTATCCGTCTTGGTATCTACAAATACAAGAATAGAACTATAAAACAAACTTGCAACAATTCTTGAAAGCATAATACTTGACCATGGCAAATAACTGCATAGCAGTTATTTACTAAGAGTTTCTGCAATAAGCACAACAAATGAAGTAAGGATAATCTAACCAGCAGAATTTTTGGGCTTCGTTTGAGAGCGTCCCAACTTTGAATTCTTGTCTAAGTTCTGCTTTTTGTGAAGAGCCTGTTGCTTCGATACATTTTCTTCCGTATGTTTCAGTAACCGATCGGCGCCTACCCACTCATCCCAACTGTTGGCAATATGTCCAAGCCACAGAAATTATTTTTGTACCCGTTAATGAAAGGGGCATACTACTCGACAAAAGAGAAGTCTCCACGAATGAATTGTAAGGTAAACGAGGGTTTGGCTGGGGGATGTGAGGGGAAGGAGTTGAAGGGTAGGAGTACTCACTTTTTATTCCATCCCTGTAATAATAAAAACACCAGCAGATTCAGTACAAAATAAGAAGGAAAACAAGATAATATGAAAATCTGTTAAAAGTCCAGGCATTCAGTGGATCAAAAGTAGGCATACAACTCTCCTAAATTAACTATACGTTGTTGTATAACTGTACAACAACACATCAGGAGCCAGGAAAAAAGGAGCTTACAAGGTAGTGGACGAAGTATTTCCAATCCTTCTTCCGTTGCTCCGCCTTTTGAACCTATAATTTAAAGCAGTACAGTGGCTTGAGAATCACAAAGAAGTGGTGAGCATAACTCAGCCCAATAGTGGAAACCTAGAAAGAAAAGAAATGACTACACTAATGATAGGACTTGGAATGAAATGTGAGTTTATTGACACCAAGCATATAGAAAATCACTAGCGTCAACAACGGCATGTTTCAGAATCGAACTCGAAGAACTTAATTCAGCCTGCCTGTCAATCCTCCTAGTTCCCACTTCCCAGAAGACTAAACTAGAAACCTACTTCCTGAAAGATCAGAAGGTTGAAATACAAAAGGCAACAAACGAAATTACCCCACTGAAGTAAATAAAATCTCAACTTGCACATTCATTTGGCCAGGGTGACAGCAACAGAATGGAAATGCCTGACGAGAACAAGAGATAATCAATTGTGCTAAACGAACAAGGAGACAGCGACTTGTTTACCAAATCATAACTTCGATCACCGCTTCTCCGTTAAACTCAATCTACTCATTCACTCGGATTCAATTTACTTCAGATTTCTCAGCAGCCAAACACATAATAAACTGCGAGCCCATTGAACAGTGAAATCGGAGAGAAAGGGCGTCGAGTAAAGGATGACTAAAGAAAATTCTAGGTCTAGAAGCTAGTAGAAACCGAGCTTAGGAAGTTGAATAAATCCAGAACTTAGGGAGGAGAGAAGAGATGCCTTGGCTTCATAGATTCGAGGACCATGGTAGGCGAGGACGCGCTCGCCTTCGGTGAAGCGGGCGGAGTCAGGAGGCGGAGTGTCGCCGCTGGAAGCCTCGCCGTCGCTGCCGGAATCGTCCTTGGATGAGCTGCCCATTATTCTGTCGACGGACTAAAAGTGGGAGAAGACGAGAGGAATTTTGGGGATTTGGCGGTCGAAATGTATCACTGGTTCAATTTTCAGTTTCTATTTTTCCTTTTCTTTCTTTGAGTATATCTACCTTTCAAAAAAAAAAAAAAAAAAGTATATTCCTTTCCCCCCTTTATTAGAGCCGGGAGCGGGCCGGAGCCCACAGGCCATGGCAACAAGAAAATATGTTCAAATGTGTCGCTAAGGGGTCGTTTGCAGAACGAGATTTAGGTCGTGGATTCATTGAATCCGTAGATTATATAGAAAGTTATGTTTTTCTGTTGTTTTTTGTATTGTGGATTTTAGCTTTAGAGATTTCAAATCTCTAAAATCTATGGATATCAAATCTCTCATAATCAGAGAGACTCTGTATCTTGATTCATGAGATTTTTTTTCCTCCTACTTTTTCTCTTTCTTTTATTTATTTATCATATTAAATATATTTACTAACAAATTTTTTAATATTTCTCGAACTACTCTAATTTTTTTATTAAGGATAAACATGTTATTTAATATAAATTTTTTATTTTTATTATCATTGAATGTTAACAATCACAGTTACCAAACAATAAACTTTTTAAAATCTATTTTCAACAATCCGAAGAGTTAGAATCTTTAGATTGTTTACAATCTATAGATTTAAACTCATATTCTCCAAACGACTATCATGCTCTAATTACGCATAAGGTGTGCAACAGTTCGGTCCACTCCTGACGTAACTCATGGGAATTAATGAAACGCATTTTACAATCAATGATTGGACAATATTGCATTTAATCTGATTCGGTCTGGTCCAAATGTCAAGTCGGTCTATTTTTCTTCAATATTTGTAAAATTCATGGAACCAAGAACCATACCACATTATATTCGATTCGGTTTGGTCCAATCCAAGCGTCGGTTCAGTGCGATCCGGTACAAACCATACCATTGCACATCCATACACATAATAAAATAAATTCTCATCAAAATCTGAACCTGGATTTGGGTTCGGCCTGTTGACCGGATGTGTTTCGTTAATGTGATAAATAACTATAACAATTGCAAGAAATAAAATATGTATTTATTTGATATCATGAAACCAAATTATCTAATTATTGGAAAGATAAAAAGGAACATAAATTGTAGAGTTTTCCAACATCCTAATCGATTCAACGACAAAAGTCCTTTTCAAAGTAAAAAACTGAACTCATACAAGTAAATTGACTCCTAATAAAATTCACCAAACTACGCTTCGATTCACTTCTCACGTGAAAAATTACATCAAAATTTTCTTTTGCTTTTGCTATTGCTTCATCTTTACTGCTCCATTAACTCCACCTATAACACCGTTATCATCTCCATCACAAGCTCCACTATCATGATCATTAGTAGTTTCTTCTTCTCAATATCGCGGTATTATGATCTCCATCACCGATGTCATTACCTTCACCGAATGTAGTCTCTTCATTCTTCTCAATAGTATCATTATCTTCATCACCTGCTCCACTATCTTCATCGTCTGAAGATATTGATCCCATGCGAGTTTAGGCAAGTGTCTAGGCGTGCTTTTTAGAACCATGGGTACCACCACTCTTTTCAGGCCCTATGTATGACATTTGGGATAGAGTGAATGGAATTGCGGAATTCTGGATAAAAAACTCAAGTCTCTGAAGATACTGTTCCCAACTTAAGAAAAATTAGGGTAGCTTCAGAGGTCTAGAATTATCTCAGATTTAAATTTAATCAAGAAGAATTTGTTTATATTGCTAATTTACAAGAGAAAATCGACCTTGCTAAGCAAGGTAATCAAACAATCAGACAATACCAATCCTCCTTGAAACTACGGGGAATTGCAATTCCCCTAATATCATAACAGCTCGTTTCTCAAGGCAAAATAAGACTTACAGCATTCCACTTGCACTCTTCCTCTTGATGTTGATCCTTGTTGTTTTCATAATTTTGTTTCTGATGGTCGTCGTCCCAACTTCCTCCCAAGTGTTGTTGATGCTAACGATTGTCCTTAACTAATAATTACTAAACTACTGCGTCCTATGTACCAGTGGATATTATGAGCGTTAGGATCAAGCTTTTGGCAGAGGTTTGTGATTTCAATCAGGACAGGGCATGTGGGTTTTACCTGCTCCGTATGGGGCAACTATGAGTGACCCGTTGCGAGGCACGGGACAGGGTGGGTCGTGGTCATAAGTGGCGGGGCAGGGCACAAATTTAAAGGTATCTGCCTCAAACTCGCCCCATTGCCATTACTATGGCCACGTTGTTTTACTAGTGTATTAAAGGGGTTCAAGCTATATGACAAAGACTAATGTTGTCTTTCTAAGCAAATATGTGGAATTTGTTGAAACTGTCTTCCCCTTTAAAGCTAATGAGAGTAGTTTTGCACCAAACACTAACCCTCACATAGATACATAAAATACTTCTTCAAAACTTTTTCCCACTATGATCATTCCTCCTGATCAAAATGTACATGAAACCACAGATCCCAAATATTATCCTTTTGATACAGAATATGATCATTTTAGACCTCTTTCACAAGTTACTTCTACACCAGCCATTCTATCCCCTTCCACCTCTACACTCTCTACTTCTTCTCCACAAGCTCCTTCACCTGAACCTCCTTCTGGTGATACAACTACACCTCCACTGCTTAGGAGTCCACCAAAATTCCTAAACAACCTATTCATCTCAAAGATTACCATTTTTCTTTTATGATCAATTCCACTTATGATTCCCATGACTTCAAACTCCTTTACCCCCTATGAAACCACTAAGACTACTCAAACCTTAATCCAAATAACCTATACTACATTTTATCCATTTCTTCAATCACTGATCCTCAGAAACTACTTTCAAGTTGTTAAAGAGGCATGTGGGCAGCAGGCTGTAAATGAATAACTAGATGCTCTTCTTGATAATGGGATATGGAAAGTAGTAGACAAACCTCCTAGAGTAAAGCTTGTTGGTAACAAATAGATTTTTGTATACAAGACAAAATTGGTAGCTAAGGGGTACACTCAGATGATATATGATATTTGATTTTATTGATACTTTCTCATTTGTGGCTAAACTAAATTTAGTCAAATTGTTGCTAGCTATTGCAACAGCAAAAGCATGGCATCCCCATCAAATGGATGTGATGTGAGCAATGTGTTTTTCGCATGGTAGCGTAGAGGAGGAGGTGTATATGGAATTACCTGAGGGTATCATACCATGTCAAGAACCAATTGACCAAATTGCATAACAATACTTATAGCATAACTTAATACTACTCATACTATAATACACATCACATCAATGCAACTGCAAAATCAATTACATATGTTGTTCCTTTTACCACCACACAATTTATGCACTTCAAATTATATAATTTTTTATTGTATGACATCAATACAATTTATCTACCATTTTAATTAATTTTTTAGTACAATTATAAAATATAATTAATTAAATAATATATAATTTAATAATAAATTATGTGACTTACAATTCATAATTATACGCAAGATTGCAAGGATAAAATTATAAAGAGATAATAGCATAAATTGTCCCTCTACCATTGCATGTTCTCAAACTTGTCCCTCTATTACTTTTTCATATCAAACTTACCCCTCTACTATGATCACATTCGCAAACCTACCCTTATGTTAATTATTCCATCCAAATTTAGTTAACCATGGTTGAAGAGACTTTGAGTAGATGTTCAAGCACCCTTCTACCACTATAGTACGGCGGGGAAGGATACCTTTGTTTCTTTAGCTTTCGACTCCTCTGTTTCCGATCCCTTTGGTTCTGTGAGTGAAGATGAGAGCGTTGACACAAGGAGCTGATTCAGCTGCTGATTGTGGTGATTCAACCCACAATTTGTAGTTCTTAACCCGTCGAGAAAATTCCTTTGAATGAATTTGTAACTCAGAAAAGCTCATGCCAACTGAGATAGTGACATAGAGCTCGTGAAGCTAACATAGTACCTTCTAACTCTAGCTGAACTAGCCCTGGAACATTCTAAATGGAAGTACTATGCAGAGGATGGCTCGAAAAGGTCCAGACAAGCATAAGTAGCACTAGTGGGCTCAAGAGTGACTTTTAATTTGTGCTGCTTCCGGTCAATCATCGGAATTCTTCAACAGTTATTCTCCTTCTGGAATCTGGAACGTCAGATAGATGATGTTGAAAGCCAAGTTGCAGGGGCTCAACCAGCCGTTTTCCCCTGTGACTCCGGTGACTTTATGCCTGTCCGCTTCGATCCGTCATGGGTAGAGGTGGAGCTAGGTCGAAGCTCGACCCCTTTTTAATTTTGAAATATAGGTAAAGTTACATGTAACTTTTGTACAAATTTACAAATTAAAATAGTCGGTAAGGCTTTAGCCCCCACCCCCATATATATATTTGATCAAGCACGAGTAACAAAATGATTCATCAGTCATAAATCTTTAAACAATGACCAGAGGAAAGTGTTTGATATTTTTATGTCTTTTTGGAACAAATTACGTTGCATTACTCTACTATTAATCACGAAAGCTCACTTTTTAACAAATGCTTTTTCCACGAATGAATGATAATATTTGTGGACTTCATGAGCCCAACAGTGACCCGCTGGCCTGGAACTTCTACCTCGCCGCTAACAACTATCGATAGACACATTGAAAATCCCGGAAGCTGGCCATGATCGTGAGTGCCACGTTGCGGGGGCTCAACCAGCTGCTCGCTCATTTCACGGAAAACTATAGAGATTTGGTGGTGCTATTTATAGACTATGAAGGGGTGAACATTTATGCTAAAATAAAATAAGGGACCAAGTGTTACCAATATCAAAAGTAAGTGACCATTGATGTTATTGACCAGTAAAATGCGTTATTGTTGTATCGCCCTCCCTCTCCTTTCTAATCCAGAGGTCAATTCGCTCCCAAAATGAGTTTTAAGCCAAAAGTGGCCTTTAATCTTCTTGAAAATAGAAAAAGTTGCAACCCGAG